ATGCCTCGCAGTTCTCAATCCTTTTCTGGGTTCGTGGGTCGATCATGATTTGAACAACCGAATCGGATTCGTGTTCCCTTTCCCCAACCTTTCTCCGCATGTTTTCACACTCTGCAAACCTTGAACTCGGTTGTGTTGAGGATGTGTTGAGCGAGACGTTTGTTTTCACGTGCCCAGGTCGCCCAGGCGGATGTCTAACATGAGGATGTTCGGAGGATGTGTCGAGCGAGACGCTCGTCTTCGCGTGTCCAGGTTGCCCAGGCGGATGTCTAGCAGCTTAGCATGAGGATGTGTTTAAAGATGTGCTGAGCGAAACGCTTGGTTTCACGTGTCCAGGCCGCTCAGGCAGATGTCTAGCATGAGGAGGTGTTGAGAACTTCTCGAGCGAGACGCTTGGTTTCACGTGTCCAGGTCTAACATGAGGATGCGTTGAGGATGTCTCGTGCGGAACGCTTGTCGCAATAAAGTAAGTCGCAGTCTAACCCCCCCCCGTCCATGGGGTGTCACCTGGCGCCCTGGCGCTGGGTCAGGGACACCCCGTGGCACGTTCCCTGACGCGTTCCCTGGCACGTTCCCTGGCGCGTCGCTTGGCATGTTCCCTGGCACGTTCCGTGGCGCGTCCCGTGGCGATTCCCCTTGACACGTCGCGCGGCGCGTTCCTCGGCACGTCCCGTGGCACGTCCATTGGCACAATCCGTAGCGCATCCTCTAAGCACGTTCCGCGGTGCGTCCCCATGGCACGTCCCCTGGCACGTCCGCTTGGCGCGTCCCTTGGGACGTTCCGCGGCGCGTCCTCCTGGCATGTCCCCCTGTCAATTAGCTCTGGGGCAGCTACAGTGTGGCCAGGCAGCTCGAGCTTAAGGTCCAGATCAGTTCGGTCAGGACTCGGATGCAAAATAGGACCCGATCCACAACGCTATAGAGCACACTCGCGGCATGGCACATCGCAGTTCAGCACGGCGCAGCACAGCACAGCCTTCGGCACGGTACATCAAGATCGATACACTCAGCATTGCAATTTGGCACGTTCCGTGGCGCGTCCCGTGGCGAGTCCACTTGGCACGCCGCGCGGCGCGTCCCCTGGCGCGTCCCGTGGCACGTCCATAGGCACGTTCCGTAGCGCGTCCCCTCGTCATGTCCCGCGGTGCGTCCTCATGAATTGTCCCCTGGCACGTCTCCTGGCGCGTCCCTTGGGACGTTCCGCGGCGCGTCCCCCTGGCGTGTCCCCCTGTCAATTAGCTCTGGGGCAGCTACTATTTGCTCAGACAGTTTTTGGTCTGCGGGTCGGGAGCGGGCCCCTTCCGGTCAAGAGCTAAACGGGACGCGGGTAGCCCTAATTAGGGAGACAGGGCGCGGGCGGGCGGGGCATCAGGCGGCCGGAGGGCTCAGAAAACAGGCGGTGCCGAAGATCTTGCACAGGACAAGGTGCGCCGTGGACTGGATCAGGGGGCGCGGTCCCACACATGGAAAGTGGAATGGTGTTGCCGTCATCGGCGCGCCAAGAACACCATCCTCGAGAGCTGCGTGAGGAGGGCCGTGAGCAAGTCAACGTCCGCGAGGTAGAGAAAGACCAGGAAGGCGAAATGCACCAGGTGCCACCGACTGGTAAGGAGGGGTCCAGGAGATGCGGACGACCACGAAGTCGATGTGCAGTGTTGTGCCACCGGGTGGTCAGTAGCGGCCTGGGGTGGTAGTCCAGTCCACGTCCAGGTAGCAGCCCCGAGGTTCGGCATGAGGGCCGACGGTGTCCGCCCGCCGTGGGCCGGGCCGGAGCCGCGCTGCCCAGGGTGAGCGGGGCCGCCGAGGCGGCAAGGTGCAGAGCCAGCACCGGGCCGCACTATTTGCTCAGACAGGCAGCTCGAACTCAAGATCCAGATCAGTTCGGTCAGGACTCAGATGCAAAGGAGGACTCGATCCACAACGCTATAGAGCACACTCGCGGCATGGAGCATCGCAATTCAGCACGACGCAGCACAGCACAGCCCTCGGCACTATACATCAAGATCGATACACTTAGCAGCGCATTTGCCCGTCGCCCAATCAGGTGTCTTTGAAACGTTGCCATGCCTTACATTTCTATATTCCTTTCTGGGCCACGTGGGTCGTTCATTTTCGAACTCTTGTTTTCCATGGTTTCTGAATTTGAACTTTTAATTTCCCCTCCACTCGAGCCCAAGCCCTAACTTCATGTGTTTTTCACGGATGGCCGTCTGTGCTTCCTCAGCCAGTTGCAAGCCACGTCTGAGGCCATATACCAGACACGTAAAACGGCCTGTCTTCCATCCGCGTAGTTATGGGAACCCTGAAGCTTGAAGACCGTTCAGTGTGCGATGATGTCAGGGGGATTTACCAGACCGCTTTGATTTCCGATTAGCTCGTGGTGCGACGAGGAAAAGTGACCAATCAGGAAGAGTGATGAAGAGTATGTCAGGGCGTTGTATTATGTTCCATGGGGTCCAGATGCTTCTGGGGTGTTCCATTGGATCCTTCCTCCTCCGCCTGCTCTTCCGCCTCCTCCTCCCTCTGCACCTCCCTCCTCCTCTTCCTCCTCCTCTTTTTCCCCGAAAGGGCTCCAGCCCAGGGTTCTCTCAAAATCATTATTTATTCCGCCCTGGAATCGACTTGAAGAGGGCTGGCGAATTTATTGTGTGATAAATAGCGAGGTCGACGAGGGCCAGCGAATTAGATTTTGCGGCAGTCCCGAGCGAAACGTTGTTTTTTGAAATTCCGATCGATAAAACAAGGAAAAGTAAACATGTTCGTTTGTTGTGGATGTCTTGAACGACGCGCTTGTGTTGCATAGTTTGTTGAGGATGTCTAGAGCGAAACGCTTGTTTTGTGATATAGATCGTTCCTCTCCTGGGGATCAGACATCAGAGGATGTCTTATGTGAAATGCTTGTTTTCACGTTCCCGGGTCTTGAGGACGTCTCGAGCGAGACGCCTCGAGGATGTCTCGAGCGAAACCCTTGTTTTGCAGAACTCGAGCGGCCTGTGCGCCCCAGGATGCCCAGGTAGTTCTGGGAGCCCGAACACAGCATCATTTACTGGGGAACGTGGCCCTGCGCGCGCGGACGCAGCATCATTCAAGAGGGAGCGCGGCCTTGGGAGCGCGGATGCAGCGTCATTTGCGATGGATCGTGGCCCAGGGAGCGTGGACGCAGCGTACACTGTGTGGGATCGTGGCCCCAGGGGGGCGGACACAGCGTAAGTTACGAGGGATCGTGGCCCTGGGAGCGCGGACGCAGCGTATCACACAGGAGCGCGGCCCTGGGAGCGCGGACGCAGTGGAGTTTTACGAGGGACCGCGGCCCTGGGGGAGCGGACGCAGTCTAACTTGCAAGGGATGGTGGCCTTGGGAGAGCGGGCGCAACAACGTTTTTCGGTGGGTCGTGGCCCTGGGAGCGCGGACGCAGCGTAATTTACAATAGATCGTTGCCCTGGGGGGGGCGGACACAGCGTACTTTACAAGGGATCGTGGCCTTGGGAGCGGGGACACATCATAATTCATAAAGGGGGTGCGGTCCTAAGAGCGCGGATGCGTAGTAGTTTACGATGGATCGTTGCCCAGGGAGCGCGGACGCGGGGTAATTTTCAAGGGGTTGTGGCCCTAGGAGCGCGGACGCAGTCTAATTTACGATGGATCGTGGCCTTGGGAGCGCGGACGCAGCATAATTTACGGTGGATCGTGGCCCTGGGAGCGCGGACGCAGCGTAATTTACTAGGGAACGTGGCCCTGGGAGCGCAGACACGGCGTAATTTACTCAGGAGCGCAGCCTTGGGAGCGCGGACGCAGCGTACCTTACGAGGGATCGTGGCCCTGGGGGGGCGGACACAGCTGAATTTATTGGGGAACGTGGCCCTGGGAGCGCGGACGCAGCGTAATTTACAAGGGATCGCTGCCTTTGGGGGGCGGACACAGCGTAATTTACTGGGGAACGTGGCCCTGGGAGCGCGGACACAACATAATTCACGAGGGAGCGCGGCCCTGGGAGCGTGGACGCAGCGTAATTTATGATGGATCGTGGCCCAGGGAGCGCGGACGCAGCGTGATTTATGAAGGATCGTTGCCTTGGGAGCGCGGACGCAGCGCAATTCCCCGGGGGATGGTGGCCCTCGGAGCGCGGACGCAGCGAAATGTACGATGATTCCTTGCCCTGGGAGCGCGGATGCAGCGTAATTTACGATGGATCCTGGCCTTGGGTCAGGGACGTCCCGTGGCACGTTCTGTGACGCGTTCCCTGGCACGATCCCTGGTGCGTCGCCTGGCACGTTCCCCCTGGCACGTTCCGTGGCGCGTCCCTTGACGAGTCCCCTTGGCACGTCGCGCGGCGCGTCCCTTGGCACGTCCCGTGGCACTTCCATAGGCACGTTCCGTAGCGCGTCTCCTTGGCACGTCCCGCGGTGCGTCCCCATGGCACGTCCCCTGGCGCGTCCCTTGGGACGTTCCGCGGCGCGTCCTCCTGGCATGTGCTCAGGTATCTCGAGCTTAAGATCCAGATCAGTTCGGTCAGGACTCGGATGCAAAGGAGGACTCGATACACAACGTCATCAAGCACAATCGCGGCATGGCACATCGCAATCCAGCACGGCGCAGCACAGCACAGCCCTCGGCACGGTACAGCAAGATCGATACATTCAGCATTGCATTTGCCCGTCGCCCAATCAGGTGTTTTTGAAAACGCTGCCATGCCTTACATTTCTATATTCCTTTCCGGGCTCGTGGGTCGATCCTGTCCTTGATTCTTCGACTTTCTTCTCATCCCTCCTTCGCCTCACTCGTCCATCCTCCTTCTCCTGGCTCCTTCTTCTTCTTCCTTCTTCTTGTCCTCCTCCCTCTCCCCTCCTCTTTCATCCATCTCCCCCTCCTCCCTCTCCTCCTCCCCATCCTCCTCCCAATCCTCCTCCACTATCCGTCTCTTTCGCCCTCCCTCCTCTTCCTCCGTCTCCTGCTCCTCCTGTTCCTTTTCCTGCAGCCTCCCCTGGGCCCCGATCTCTGAGGATTCGATGGTAGAGTACGCTGGCTGGGGGACACTGAGTGCTTACAACGACATCTTTGTCTACCCTTGCAGCGTGGACGATTTTGTGCTGACACTCGCAACCGGCCAGGGTTACTATCACAGAGGCAGGTGCCCCTTCCGCAGACCCCTTGGAGAGGGGACTCGCGACGAGTGCTCTGGCTTGTCCTGGTGCTTCAGGGAGGGCACATTGGACGATGGCAGGGATCATGAAGAGAAAAAGCGAGATGATACGGAGGAGGGGGAGCACGGAGAAGAACAGCGAGTTTTGTGTTAACTATTGTTATGGTTGTCGCTCACTCATTTTTTTTTGTTCTCTCTCTCTCTCTCTCGCGCTGTTTCATCCCTCTTAGCAGCTTGTTCCCCATAGCTATATATGTATATATATATATATACACAAGTGGCAAGTGTGTGCCCAGGCGCATACAAAAAACTGAAAGAGCGTTTGAAGCAGGAAGACACCATGACTGCAGGATCGGAGATGAAGAAGGGGAAGCTGGGGCGGCGCCGCCAGGGCGTGCCTAAGAGAAGGGGAAGAGGCAGGAGGTGAACGCGGAACAATCTAAGATCGAGGTCGCTCTCGAGCGCAAGTGGGGTTGCCACACCTTGCGATGTGTGTACCAGGGCCCCCCAGGGAAACCTCAGGAGGCCCGACTTGGATACCGGAAGAGACTCCAGGAGGCCCCGGGATTGTGAGTGTTGTGTGTGTGTGTGTGTGTGTGTGTGATGTGTGCTCTGTGTTGTGCGTGTTTTCTGTGCGTTGTAGGTGTTGTGTGTGTGTGTGTGTGTGTGTGTGTGTGTGTTATGTTTGTCTAGCGTGTGATGTGTTGGGTGTGATTTGTGTCTCTGTGTGTGCATGTAGTTCTGAGGCCCCAGGAGGCCCCAGGAGGCCCCAGGCGGCCTCAGGAGGCCCCAGAAGACCCCAGGAGGCTCCAGGAGGCCCCAAGAGGCTCCAGGAGGCCGCAGGAGGCCCCAGGAGGTTCCAGGAGACCCCCAGGAGGCTCCGAGGCGGGGTCTGGGGTACCAGAAGGTACAGAAAGCCCCAGGAGGCCCCAGGAGGTTCCAAGAGGCTCCCAAGAGGCTCCGAGGCGGGGTCTGGGGTACCAGAAAGTACGTCGGGGCTCGATTTTAGGAGGATGTCTCAGGCGAAATCGCCATTCTCTGAGAATCGGGGTCAAAATCGTTGAAATTACAATGTGTTTTTGAAGGTTTCATTTTAGAATGTTGAAATTCCCATGTGTTTTTGGACCCTGACGTCACGATCTGCGTGAGGGGTGCCACCGATTTTCAGATTGTCGAGGGTGTCTCGAGCGAAACGGCCAGACAAATCGCGGACGCCGCCTTCAATTAATCGGCTCTGAGCTCTACTCCCTCGGAGAGGTGCGTATGATAATACATATATATATATATATATATATATGTGTTTGTGTGTATGACACGTCTTGAGCATTCAACCGATAGCAGGGTTTATCAGCATAGTCTTTGCCTGTTGTTTTTCTCGCTGCATCAACTCCGCTCATATTTGAAGGCAGTATCGCCCGATCAGGCGACAGGACGTAACTCGACTAACAGTCCTGACGGCGACAGAGTAGCACGTTGTATAACTCCTGAACGGAAGTGAGATCAGGCGGATGCGAAGCGTGTTCTCCGGCTGAAGGGGCTTGAGATATTGCATGTGTCGGGGCAGAACACGGCAGAGGGTTGGGCGTGGTCATATATATATATATAGAGAGAGAGAGAGAGAGAGAGAGAGAGAGAGAGAGAGAGAGAGAGAGAGAAAGAGAGAGAGAGAGAGAGAGAGAGAGAGAGAAAGAGAGAGCGAGAGCGAGAGAGAGAGAGAGAGAGAGTGAGAGAAGCCCCTCGGCCCAGAAAGTACAATCCACCCACCATCATGTCGCCACCCCCGTAGCACGGATCTTGACCGCCTAGGGACCTCCTTGGGAGGCCTGGGACCACCTACGAGTCTTCTTAGTACCACATCGGGCTATCTTGGGCCATCGTGAAGGCCATCTTGGGGGGTCGTTGAGGCCATACTTGGCTCGGCCGCGGGGTTCCTCCAGATCATATCAGGGGCTTGGAGGTTTGACAAGGGGGGTGCGGACAGCCAAGCGTGTCACATGCTGTGTTCCCCCACGGTAACAAGGGGTCGACGGATTACGACCCTGGTGTTCCTGGCGGACTGTGCAGAAGTATTGATGTCGGCAACGTCGCTCTGCTCCGGCAGGAGGTTGGGACGTCGGCGTGGACCATCACCGGCGCAGAAAAGACCATCCTACCAGCACTGGCGCCAAGCCCGACTGTCAGTCCTGGCGCACCCACGTCCAGCCCAACGCCGTCTCCTACTTCGCCTTGGGTCGAATTCCCTGGCTGGGGGAGCATGTTGTATTATAGTGATCCAGCAGTTTCCCCTTGCAATGTGGATGACTTCATTGCAAGTCTTGCAGATGGGGTGGGTTACTACATTGACACGGCCGTGACAGACGGATGGTGCAGAGTCGTGACCGAAGTTGAGGCGGTCCGACAGCAGACTGGGACAACGGAGTGGACCAGCAGTGCCACAGGAAGCACGTACTTACCAAGGGTATCGTCTAGTGCGCCGTCGACTCCCACGCCGACATCCATTCCCACTCCCGCGCCCACGTCCAGCCCGACGCCATCCCCGACTTCGGACTACTGGATCGAGAACACTGGTTGGGGGACAACAAGTTATTACAATGCTGGAGTGCAGCCTTGCAACGTGACTCAATTCGTTGCGGCTCTTACGGCTGGCATGGGCTATTATTATGATTCTTCTGCGCAGGACGGGTGGTGTAGAAGCATTGATGCGGACAGCGTCGAATCGCTCCGGCAGGAGGTTGGGACATCTGCGTGGACTGGCGCCAGCACAGGAAAGACGTACCTACCACCGCTGACGTCCAGCCCGACGTATGCCCCTGACTCTCCGACTCCCACGCCGACATCGTACCCGACCCCGATACCCACGTCCTACCCGACTGCATCTCCGACTCAGGAAGGCTGGGTCGAATATCCTGGTTGGGGGACGCTAGATTACTATGTTGACCCTCCGACATTTCCTTGCAACGTGACTGAATTCTTCTCGACTCTCGCAGATGGCATGGGCTACTACTATGATGCCAACGTGCCAGGCGGGTTGTGCAGGAGTATGTGCTGGCCTTTGGCACACCCCGCCGCCGTGCCTGGGTTATGGCCGGAGGCCTCGTAGATGCCTCTTGCGGTCTCTTGGGCTGCCTCTCGGGGGCCTCTTGGAAGCCAATTGACGACTTCTTGAGGGTTTCTTGGGAGTCTCTTGGTGGATTATCAGAAGCATCTTAGTGACCTCTTGGGGCCTCTTGGGCGCTTTGGGGGGCTCTTAGGGTCATGCCAGATGTATTGTGGGAAATCTTTGAGGGAACGGCTTCCAAGGCCTCTTCAATTTCTGCCTTTGGGGTGGTCGCTTTGAGGCCCCGTGGGCTGTCTTGAGGGACGCCTGGGCCGTCTTGGAGCCCTCGTGGGCCCACTTGGGGCCCTCTTGGAGGCCTCTTTGACCTTCTTCGGGCGATCTTGGGGTCTCTTTGGCCGTCCTAGGGTGTTATGAAGCTCGATAAGGCGAAGAGTGCCAGAACCACTGCAACCACCTGGAGGAAACCAATGATTCTGGCTTCTTGGGGATCCCTTGGCGGTCATCTTGAAGCTCTTGGGGCGTCTTGGAGGCCTCTCGGGCCGTCTGGAGGCCGTCTGGATGCCGTTTCGGAGCGCTCTTGGGCCACATGGGGGCCTTTTGGGCCGTCTTGGGCCATCTTGGGAGCCGCTTAGCCCATCTGGGGACTTTCTGGCCTCTTGGAAAAATCATGCGAGGCGCCTCGGGAGTTCCGCGGCGATCCCCAGAAAATCTGGCAACTGGGGATCTAGACCTCTGTATTAAGAGTATTCAGTGCAGAGAATTCGAAGGGGTCTGAGGACACTCCACTCAGTGCCTACGGGACAGTGGCGGATCAGTGTGGAGAACGTTGATTTGCTCCGGCAGGAGAACGGGACGTCGGCGTGGACTGACCAGCACATCACGCCCTGGGGAACCCCCCAAATCACCGGATCGACGTACCTGCCGTCGCTGGTGCCCACGCCGGCGCCCATTGGATCCCCTGCCGCGGCAGCCTGGGTCGACTACGCCGGCTGGGGGACGGTGGTCTCGTTTTATGGCCCTCAAGAGGTTCGGGGTGGATCCAGGCCTCCTAAATGGGCCGAGTAGACGCGGTTGGAGGATCGGGCCGCATCGCCGATGTATCGGCGATTTGCCGCGATTTGGAGAACGATTTTCTTCTGCCGACGTCGCCGATGCATCGTCGATGCGTCGGCGACGCGTTGCGATCCACCGACCACATTCATTTTGGCCACATTTCGGAGGCTCCCAGTGGGCGAAAGCGGGGGCGGGGGATTGGGAATGGGGGGGTACGAAAACTGCGGCATCCAGCTGGTTTCGGCCCCGCCGTTCGGGTAGCTTTTCTGGGTGCATGGTCCGCCTCTGGTGCCTGGAGGCGCCAGGAAAACCAGCTGCTCCTAGCTGATTCGCTACCCCATCTTGTGCTGTCCCCCCTTTCGTCCGCCCGAAAGGTCCCTTGCGATGTGGATGCGTTCATCGCGACGCTTACGGCTGGCATGGGTTATTATTATGACTCTGGTGTGGCAGGCGGGCTGTGCAGAAGCATCAGCGCGGGCCACGTCGAGTCGGTCCGACAGGAGGTTGGGACGTCGGCGTGGACAGAACACGGCACCGGGAAGACGTACCTGCCGACCCCGACTCCCAGCCCGACAGCATCCCCGACCACGCCGACCCAGGCCTCCGCCGCTCCGCTCTCTGTGTCTGCCACCGGCGACCCTCACCTTGTCAACGTGCATGGCCAGAGGTTCGACCTCTACCGGCCCGGGGTGTACCCGCTCGTCCGGATCCCAAGGACGGCGGGGCGGAAGACTGCACTCCTCGTGCTGGCGAGGGCGATTCGCCTCGGGGCCGGTTGCAAGGAGCTGTATTTCACGGAGGTCAACATTACGGGCATGTGGTCTCGGCGGCACCGGAACCTTACGTGGGTTGCTGGGGAAGGCGAGTCTGGCCGCCCAAGGTTTGAAGGGCGCCACCTACACACCTGCGCCGATCCTGACCAGGCCGATCTTGGGCCCAGGATCGGTGTACTTGCCCTCCTGGCGTATACACCGATCCTGAGCTCAGGATGGGCCTGGTCAGGATCGGCGCATGCGTGTGGTTGGCGTTCTCCTCCAGGTGGAGGATATTTCACCAGGTCGGTGTGAAGGTGGTCCATGGCCGCACCCTGCTGGGCATCAGGTACCTCAACGTTTTGGTGCTCGGGCGAAGAGAATTATGCACATGCACCGATCCTGGCAAGGCCCATCCTTGACCCAGGATCGGTGCATATGCCTTCCTGGCCAAGGCAGGAGGGCGTATGCACCGATCATGGGCTCAGGATGGGTCTGGCCAGATTCGGTGCATGTGCATAGTTCTCTTTCCTCTAGGTGCGGGGCCTGAACAAAGCCAACTACGCAATCGGGGGCCTCCTTGGGGAGGACGACCACACCGTGGCCGGTACGCCTCCCACCGACTGCGTCAGGCTCACGGGTCTTTGAGGCTCGTGCGCCGTGGAGTATGCCGACGGAGGGCTCGACCCTTGCGTGCACGGAGCTCTCGCTCCCAGTGCCCTCCTCCTCCCTCCTCCTCCTCCTTCCTCCTCCTCCCTCCCTCCTCCTCCTCCCCTCCTCCTCCTCCTCCTCCTCCTCCTCCCCCTCTCCCCCCTCCTCCTCCCCCTCCTCCTCCTCCTCCTCCTCCTCCTCCTCCTCCTCCTCCTCCTCCTCCTCCTCCTCCTCCTCCTCCTCCTCCCTCCTCCTCCCCTCCAGTATGCCTTGTATCAATTTGTGGTTTCACCATTGTCTGTTCCAAGGCATCTGAGGACCTTGAGTGCCAACTGCGCCGCCTGGCGCACTGTGATCAGTTCTTTCATCTGCGTGTACATGTACCTGCATGGCCCAGCCTGCCGTGGCTTGTGAAGTGGCTTCAGAGGTCTTGGGGGTGGCTTCTCCTGCCGTGGGAAGAAGGCAAGGAGAAGACATCCACTTCCTCTAGTCCCTAGGAGGTTTCTCGAGTTGGAGGAGGGAGGGAGAGAGGGAGGGAGCTATTCAGGCCTAGGGTACACTGTGCATCGCTTCGGAGTGCGTCGGAACGCTCTGTGAATTTTCTGGAGCGCTCTGGAACGGCCCCCGGCGTCCGATACACCCTCCCAGGTCCGCCAGCTCGAAACATAACGGGGAGGAAGCGGGCGCGATCCTTGTCAGGGGCGCGCCGACGTAGGCGTCGACATTTATGCGCGTGGACGCACGCGCGCGCAGACTCATTCACAATCAGACTCACTCGCGTTCAGACTCACCCGCTCTCAGTCTCTCGCACGCGGACCTATCGTCTTCGTTCTCGTCGTACACCTCGCCGCGCATGTCGGCGCGCCCCTCGCGCGGCGCGTGGCCCCGTGGGGGGCGCGGGAGAAGATGGTATTCACAATTGCAGTATTCGCGCCTGCATCTGGTTGGGTCCTTTGTCCGGCTTTTTTTCCCCATCCGGTGTCTTCGGCGCAAATCGCCAGCTTAGGCATGCGTTCGGCCTTTGGAAGTCCGAGCCCTTTCCCCGGGGCGGGTTTCCCATCTCGAGTCGTTTCTTCCTTGTCGTCATGCCTGGCGAGGGCCCCTGGAGGCGTGAAGCGGCCTAGAACCTCGCGTCGTGATTTGTTTGACGACGCGGGCATGTCTGGGAGTGCGTCGTTCGGCTATCAGACGGGTGATCCCTCTCTGGAGTGACCTTCGGTGCGGGCCCACGGGGAGTCCCCGATCGGTGAACGAGATGCGCTAGCAGTGGCCGGCGAGCTTTGTTCTGACCGCCTCGCACCTCCCCTGAAGCCGTGCGCCTGAGGTCATTGTCGCCTAGGGTCACTCCTGCGCGTCGTCGAATTCTCCTGGTCTGGTCGACTCAATAGGGGGTCCAGCGAAAAGGGGGCGGTGCAATAGGATTTGGTGTCATAGATTTGTGGGGTTTCAATTACTTCCGGGCGTGCAATACATTCCGGTGCGCAAATGTATTGTTGGGGTTTCGCATGCACTTCGTCAGTTGGAATAAAATGGAAGACGGCCAACCCCTCCCCCGCGGGCCCAGTCTGGTCGATTTGGGAAGGGTGGGGGTTCTATCCGCGCTGGCCGGGTGGGGTATTCTGCTCCAGCAATTCTGCCGGGAGGGCATCGAGGGCCCGAAAACAAGCCAGGAGGACCCCAAGAAACCTCCGCGATGCTCCAAAACGGCCCCAAGAGGCCTCAATGAAAGCAAAACCTTGAAAAAACGAAGGGACATCAACCATTCCAGGCCTCTTGGGGCCCCTTTGGGAAACCTCGTCGAGACTTCTTGGGGCGTTTTAGGGACATCCTGGGCCCTGTGGAGGCCATCTTAGGCGTCTTGGAACTGTATTTCTGGGATTCGGGGGAGCTGCTGGAGCAGAGTACCCCCCCCCGGCTGGCGCGGATCGACCCCCCTCCTCCCGTCCAAATCAACCGGCCCGGGATCCTGGGGGAGGAGTGGACTGTCTTGGGGCCAATTAGGGCTCTCTAGGAACCCGCTTGGGGGCCTCTTGGGCCGTCTTGGGGCGGTGTTGGGGGCCTCGTGGGGCGTCTTCAAGCGTCGGGTGCCTGGGAAGGCGAGAAAAGCAAGAATTTGGAAAACAACTAAGGGGAATCTGCCATTTTACTTCTCTTGGGGCCCTCTTGGGAAGCCTCTTCGAGGCTCTTGGGGCGTCTTGGAGGCATCTTGGGCTGTCTGGAGGCCATCTTGGGCGTCTTGGACCGATGTTTCGGCGATTCGGGGCCCTCTTGGACCATCTTGGTGGTCTCTTGGGGACCTCCTGGTTCGTTTTCGGGCCCTCGATGCCCTTCCGGCAGAAATGCTGGAGCAAAGTACCCCCGCTGGCCGGCGCGGATAGACCCCCGGCTGGCCCTCCAAATCTACCCGACCGGGCTCCCGGGGGAGGGGTGGGTCGGCTTGGTGCCACCTAGGGGTGTCTAGGGGCCCGCTTGGAGGCCTCTTGGGGGGCCGTCTTGGGGCGGTGTTGGGGGCCTCGTGGGGCGTTTTCCAGCGTCGGGTGCCCAGGCGAAGAAAGCAAAAACTCGGAAACAAAAACGCGGAAAGTCAACCATTTTACGTCTCTTGGGGTCCTCGTAAGGAAGACTCTTCGAGGCTCTTGGGGGGTCTTGGAGGCATCTTGGGCAGTCTGGAGGCCATCTAGGGCGTCTTGGGACGGTGTTTCTGCGACTCGGGGCCCTCTTGGAGCGTCTTGGAGGTCTCTCGGGGTCCTCCTGGCCTGTTTTCGGGCCCTCGATGCCCCCTCGGCAGAATTTCTGAGCAACGTACTCCCTGGGCCGCCTGGATAGACCCGCCTCCAAATCGACCGGACTGGGCTCCTGGAGGAGGGGGTTTGGGGAGGGGGAAGCATTTCACATGCCGATGAACCCCAAAGGTCGGCGGATTTTGTCTTCGCTGGGTCCTGTTGAAGGTCCTCCCGGGGCCCTTTTGGGCCCTCTTGGAGGGATCTTGGGCCGTCTGGAGTCATATTCGGCCGCCTTGGGGCCATCTTGACCCAACTTCGAGGCATCCTGGGTCATCTTGGTTGACTTAGTTGCCTGCTTGGGCCGTCTTCAATCTTCAAACTCGGGACGCGGACGCATCGTTGTTTAGAAGGGATCGTGGCCTCGGTCGTGGCCTCGGTGGTAGAGCGGTGAACCCTACAGAGCAGCCCCTGGTATTCTAACACGCCCGCATCGTGCAGACACGGTGGCGGATATCAATGATGCCTGGCCAGTTTTCTGCTATCCCATCGCCTCCGTCTCGGGGCACGCGAAGACCGGGGAGGATGGTACTGTTGGCTGCTTCCTGGGTGCACGCCGATTCGCGAGCACTCACCGGGCTCTCGTCGCGCGCTGCTTCATGCGATGTGAAAGAAAATAGTTCGCGCTCGAGAGTTCACGGCACATAGGTGGATGATGGCGAGGAGTGACGATTATGTTGCTGTTGTTGTTGATGGTGACGAAGAAGAAGGAGATGCTGATGAGGATGCTGATGCTGATGATGCAGATTATGATGATGATGCTGATGATGCTGCTGATGATGATGGTGGTGGTGGTGGTGATAATGATGGTGGTGGTAGTGATGATGATGGTGATGGTGATGGTGATGATGGTGATGATGATGATGATGATGATGATGATGATGATGATGATGCTGATGCTGATGCTGATGCTGATGCTGATGCTGCTGCTGCTGATGTTGATGATGATGATGACGATGATGACGATGATGCTGATGCTGATGCTGATGATGATGATGCTGATGACGATGATGATGGTGGTGGTGATGATGAGGAGGAGGAGGAGGAGGAGGAGGGGGATGATGATGATGATGATGATGATGATGATGATGATGATGATGAGGAGGAGGAGGAGGAGGAGGAGGAGGAGGAGGAAAAAGAAGAAGAAGAAGCAGAAAAAGAAGAAGAGGAATAATAATAATAATAACAATAATAATAAGAATAATAAGAATAATAATAATAAGAAGAAGAATAATAAGAAGAAGAAGAAGAAGAAGAAGAAGAAGAAGAAGAAGAGGAGGAGGAGGAGGAAGAGGAGGAGGAGGAGTGGGAGGAGTGGGAGGAGGAGGAGTTT